GAGGATGGGTGGTCTGTTGTCATTTCCAAGTGCTAATGCTTCCATCTTTGCTGATTGAGCCTTAACAGATCGGTCGAGTGATTTGATCAGAAAAAAATTTAAGATGCAGAATGTCGAAAACCTAATTCAAGAAAAAATTCGAAAACTAGGGTTCGAGAAGTTCTATCGAGAACCAGTTTTCGATAGTGAATATCGAGAAACTGTTTATCGAGAAGCAGGATTCGAGAAGCTGTATCGAGAACTTCAGTATCGAGAAGCTAAGTTCGAGAACTTAGTTTCGAGAACTGAGTGTCGAGAAGCTGTATCGAGAACCTGCAATTCGAAAAAAAACAGAGTTTTAGATATTTAGTATCGAAAACTGAGTGTCGAGAAAGCAATCTCGAGAACTCAGTTCGAGAACTTGTATCGAGAACGTAGTATCGAAATCCTGCAAATCAAAATTTCAGATTAAAACAGTTAAAACAACTTTTCTGTGAAGTTTTCGATCTCGAGAGTCTTCCTGTATAGTTATCGTCCTGAAAAAACCTGCTTAAATGTCGAGAACCCTGCTTTTCGAACTCATACTATCGAGAAATCAAAAATACCGAATCTACTGAAATCGAAAAGTAAGATATACCCTTGGTTCGTTTCTGAATGGCGAATCCAATGATATAACTTTTACAGTTTATCGATCAGAAACAAGATTACAGTGATTACAAAGAAATATATCGAAAAGTATGAAAACAGAGAAACTTCGAAAACTTTTCTTCTACGATCACACTCGAGCAGGCTCTGATACCAGTTGTTGGTCCCAGTTCAGCAGACTAACGATCAGCTAGATGAGCATCATCGATAGACAGAAGAGGAAGATTTCATATAATGATATAAGCTATGTCGAGAACAGTGAAACCTTCTTTCTGTAGTATCGAGAAGTAAATTTGGCAGCGTAAGGCTAATGTGTATTGATCGATTGATATCGGTACCTGCACACAAGGCGCATATTTATAGGCGCTGTACAGGTTACCGATTTAGGTAAACCTTGGAAGTTGGGCCAAGGCCTTTTTGGGCCTTATTCCCTTTACCTTATTTGCTACATAATAAATGCTAATCTAATACCATAAATGGTATAACTAGTCTACTTTATTTAAACAAGACATTACAGACAAACTTGACCCACAATAAAAGTTCTAACACGGTTACAAAACCGCCATTAACCAATCCCGCCGGTACGCGAAGGTATTTCCATTCTCTTCTACATAAATAGGATTCTTCCTTCTCATTTCATTCTGCGAGGCTATATTCCCCTTTCATCTTCTCCTGCCAATACTAAAGGTATTCTTCCTTCTTAAACCTATTTCTAAATCCATTTCTATCTTGCTTTCTGAAATTGTTAAATCCTTTGTTAGTTTTCAAAAACTGCCTGCACAGTCCATCGTGGTAGCAACCTTTTAAACAAGTACAATTAAAACTAAAGGATTTAATGAATGTCAACCACATGTTCGATGAAATGCCTTGACCACTTTCTAATACTTACACAGATCACCCATATATTGAAGTAAAAAAAATGGCAAGAGGACCCTTCGAATTTCCTCAGCCCAGGGGTTACATGGTCATGTTATCTTCCACCCGAAAACATTCTTCAAACCATTAGTTAAGGGAATGACAATTAACTGAAAAGTTGTGCAAAGAAACATATACTCAAAACATAGGTTAATCGTACAAACTCATCACTTTTTGCTACACACTATGCTACTTTAAAATTTCCCAACAAGTCTATTCACTTCGTCTTGTTTTACAATCATAGGTAAACTTATTCACAAGGATCAAATGGACAACACAATCATGTTGGCAATGTCTAAAGCTTACACCATTTCTGAACATTACTTCTAATTGTCTCTTACAATTGCTATTCTGAAACCAGCATTTCGAAACTGTGCTTTGCAAAAAAAAAGGCGTACTAGTTATTATATTGTTGTTCTACTAAAATAAAATAAAATAAAAGTTTTCATACCACCTTAAAAAAAACTATAAAGCATCTCAAAGATAGTACCAAATTTACTGTATATGAAGCACCGCGCGCGCGCGCGCGCACACACACACACACACACACACACACACACACACACACACACACACACACACACACACACACACACACACACACACACACACACACACACACACACACACACACACACACACACACACACACACACACACACACACACACACACACACACACACACACACACACACACACACACACACACACACACACACACACACACACACACACACACACACACACACACACACACACACACACACACACACACACACACACACACACACACACACACACACACACACACACACACACACACACACACACACACACACACACACACACACACACACACACACACACACACACACACACACACACACACACACACACACACACACACACACACACACACACACACACACACACACACACACACACACACACACACACACACACACACACACACACACACACACACACACACACACACACACACACACACACACACACACACACACACACACACACACACACACACACACACACACACACACACACACACACACACACACACACACACACACACACACACACACACACACACACACACACACACACACACACACACACACACACACACACACACACACAGGGCAACACCAGTGATCCTAACCATGTAGGATGAGCACGCTGCTATTCAGGGAGTTGAAATACAAAAATTATTGGAATCCAAGATATACCCTGTAATTCTTGCAAAGCATGTTGCTGTAACAACATATCAAGGTAAGTTAAATTAAATAATATTAACAATATCTATCTCAATCAGATTAAAACCAAAAGACAAAAAATAACCTTTTTAATTATAATTTTATATGTTTGATAACATTCAAATTTCAAATCATTAGTCACTTACTATGCTTACATAGTTAAAACACTGGATAATGAGTATACTAGGCTGCCATCTTTATCTTACTCTTGAAATATAAGTTTGCTGAGACTCAACTACTTATTTACATTTACAGCAAATTAACAAGGAAAAAACAGCCACACAACTTATACAACATGACGCAGTAGAAGACAAAATCCACCAATTTCACACCTTTGGCAGGAATATCAGTATTATTTATTAACAATTTTTAATGATTTTGCTGTAGGATTGTCTTTGACGACAAGTTATGACACATCAATAGAACTCTGTCCACACGGCCAACACACATCTCTTTTAAAGGATTGGTGATTCACAGAACCACTTCTATCTATTTTAACTCATTATTTTTTAAAAATCAAAGTTCATGTTAATTATTTTTACATATAACATGTGTTCATATTTTGTGGATTAAATATAGGAGAAATTCCAATGAAGATGAGATTGAAAGGGTAATTGCGGGAAAAGAATATATGGACTCTCTTGTTGGTCTTGGAAATCCTCAACAGCAACCAAAATCAAGTGTCTTTGTTGCTTTACAATGTCTTAATCAGGTAAGAATTCTTTATTTAAATTAGTAAGCTTCAGTTGAATATTATAAATCACAATTGTTTTATTTAATATTAATAATCTTGAAGGCAACAATCCTTTGGATAGAGGGCAAAATGAAAATCATTGGACATGAGGTCATACCATATTACATTGGGTGCAATAGTTGCAACAAAAAAGTCAACTCAATCGAATGAGTCAGCTTCGAGTGCCTACATTGTGGATTTAAAAACGGAACTACTACTAAAAGGTAAACTGTATTACTCTGTCTTTAATGATTGAATCCATTGAATTGCATCGTTATATATATACATGCGCGCGCGCACACACACACACACACACACACACACATATATATTTAATACACTGAAATATGTTAAATTCATATGTATCGACTCGCTATAGAGATTTCTGATGACACTGCTGTGCTTGAAACAACTTTATTCACTAACGAAGTGTATAAGTTGCTGAAGTTGATCAACACCAATTGTCATCTTAATTCTGTGGAATGTGCTGAGATTAATGAGAGAATCAAGGACCTTACTTTCACTATTGCTGTCAAGGCAACCATTAAACAATACCAGGGAGAAATGCAAAAAACATGAGTGTCCTCTCTCTTTCTTTGCAAGCAAACCAGCCAGTTACAAATAATGTTAATATTGATGTGGAGGTTCCAACAACAAAGGCTAAACGAAGTCTGATTCTTGCGGAGGAAAATGAAGGTGAATGCAGTACTCAACATGAAGAACCAAGTAAACTTCTTGCACCTACTACCAAAAACAAAGGGAAGAGACCCAAGTGATACTGCTTCGTACGTTATTATCTATTGTGAATTATAAGTATGTAATAATAAGGAGCTAGCTGAACTCGATCCATATGATGCATATATAATTTATTATTTAGGTTGTATACTGTATTAAATGATGATCTTACTGTGTGTAAAACATGTATGCAAGACGATACTCAAACTATGTACATTAAAAAAAATAACTATACTATTTAAATTACATATAATAGTGTCAATCTAATCTCTTGATTATTGCATTTAAATTTACAACATGCAGTGGTCCGTTTTAGCACATTACAACACTGAGAACAAACATAAAAAATTGTGCTCAAAGCAACCATAATTGTTGCATTTGGTTTCATATCTAAGTATCACTAATAAATTTTAACAGTTAAAATTTACTCGTATATATTTAGTAACTACATTAAAATCTCTTCAAAGGTTTGAACTCCAAATTAGAATATAATTAAAAATGACATCCTAATTAAGTGAATAAAATGAAACTGTTTGATCAAGAAAAGTCAATTTTGCAAATTAATTTGGGATGGAGGTAGTATGAATTAATAGTTGAATAACGTATACTCCAATGAATTATATAAAATTCATTTTGTATGATAAAGTAATGTAAATTGTAATTAATAAACGGTTAAAGTTTATAAAGTTTGATTCAAAAAGTGCAATTGAAAACTTAATTGTGAAAACACTTCGATTGAATTGTGTGCAGGAAATTAGTACTGCTTTTAGGAAACGGATTACTTTCGCTTAATTAATAAAGAAGCATTTGGCCGAGCTGAGGAAACACAAATTAACAACAAAAAGCACTCTTTATGCTTATTTAACTAAGTGGAAATTAAAAAACAAGTTGGTGTTCATCATAAAAGCACTTTAAGTGCTTGAATGAAAGAACACTTAAGAAAAAAGCTCTAATAATACAATTATTAGAAATAAGACAAATACTCCAGATACACTCTTAATTGACTAGAAATATTGGGAGTGATAGTAGATTTATGATCAAAAGAGCAATTTCCCTCCATCAATTTTTGCCACCGAGGATACCCTTGAGCTTCTTGATTTGAGTCACATCAATGAAAGTAACAGCATTCACAGTTTCTGTGGGCAAATCATTCATAAACAAAGCGAAACTTGTGATTTGAAGGCCTGGGTTTGGGGCACTGAAGGCAGCAACGGCCACAGCCTCAGTTTTCCCAGAGTTTATTTGGAAATGAAGTAATCCCACAGGGAAAACCATCACATCCCCGGTGTGAAGCTGTTTGAAGTATACCTTGTTCTCAAGGGCCGATACGAATCCGGCACAAATTGACCCTTTAATGACCATGAGGATCTCCGACCCTCCGGGATGCGTGTGGAGGGGAATGACACCACCTATGGCCAAATCAAGTCGGGCCATAGACAGCCTCAGCCCGTTGACGCCCGGAAATTGGGCGTCAAAGGCTGGGGTGACTGCAGCCTTGATGATGTTAGTGGTGTTTCCGGCCGCTGCTAGGCCGGAGTAAACGAAGTCATTGATGCCCACTGATTTCTTGCAAGGGAAGCCCGCCGGGCTCGGGGGTAATGACAGGTCCCCCACACAAAAATCTAAGGCTCGTGAGGAGGGGAAGAAGAATGAGAGGAATAAAAGCGTCTGGAGGAACATGATTAATTGTGTGTTCTGAATAAGGGGTTTATGCATGGATAAGTATATATAGGAAGTAGGAACCATTCATGGATGCATGGGTACTTGGGTAGTGTGTTTCGGATTGTGAGGGCTTGAGCCTTGCAATAATGTTATTCCGTACGCTTTTGATATGTGGTATATGAAAGTTATATGATTGATAATGAATGTGTAAATTAAAATTGGAATAAAGTAAGAATAAATTAGGTTCAAAACCGAATTAAAATAAACCGAAATGTAATCAAACTAAACCGAATCGCTAAAAACCCAAACCCAAATGTAAAAGACGAACCAAACCTTAGTTGTTTGGTTCGGTTTTGGTTTTGTCTGAACCGAATAAATCGAACTATATATTTGAAATATGAAATTTTATTTGTTAACCCTTAAGTACTAATCCCAATATCCTAATATTATTAAATGTTAAATTATTATATTTGTGGTTTAATTTAGGTTATAAATGCATTTACTATTTCATTCCCAATAATAATATAGTTATATTCATCTATTATGTCTTTTACGTATGTATTTTGCAATTTATTGCATGATGTGATATGTTTTTGTTGTTTATTATTAGAGTATTTTTATTTTTATGTATTCTAAAGTTTTTATATTGAAAAAATAAATGAATATTCATCTCAACTATACCACTTAGAGCGTATATATTCATGAACTTTTTTCAAACTAGTCATAAGAATGTAAAATAAGAATATATACATTTTTGTATAAAAAAAACTATAAAAGTATGTTTTCTCTCACACATACTCATAGTGTTCATGACATACTTATTATTTCTCTTTTTCTATTTTATTTGTTCAAGTATGCTTGCATTTTTTTTTATGTAATATGCTTTCTCCCCAACTATTGCTCCCCCATCCATGCCGACTCTATGTCAATATCCTAATTTTTTGTAGTGTATCACTTTATATATGAGTGCTTATATCTACTTCCTAAATCTGTTTCCACTCTTTTATGGAGAAGAAGCAGATAATACGTACTGAAGTATTTGAGTGAAAGTGCAAAAATAATGTTAATTGCTCCAAATTGCTCTTGAAAGCAGATCCTCAGAAGCTAGGTGTCAGATATCAGCTTCTCAAAAATTAGTTCTGGTTCTGCTTTTAAAAAAGTAGGGAACCAATCCGAAACATCCCCATAATGTGTTATATGCATATATTGTACAAAGTATATGTTTCCCTTGATGGTTAGCATAAATCAATCATGTATATACTAGTATATGAAACCTAATCATACATAATGAATGTCACATGCCATGTACGCACATAACAAATTTGGTTAGAATAGAAGTGATTATTGTTCTTTGAAAATGATATTTAATCTTGACATACTATGTATTGGTATAGGAGAAAATTAAATTGAAGCAAAAGATAGGTAGCAATGGTCCAAATCCGAGGAACCTTTTTGAAAATTGATTGACAAAGGTGCACAAAGAGTTTTTTCCACTTTTAGTCCCCCCACTATTAGATCTAGTTTTGAGAAAGATGAAGTTGTGACACACTCCATGATCCAGTTTTCCACTTTAGTTTCAATTTCGATCGGGATGTTAGTTAAATCAATTATTGAAAAATATTGCACTTCTTGCACATATAAAGCGCAGTGTTTTTCAATAATTTACTTAGTTGACTTCGCGATTGAATTTATACCCGAATTTTTATGGACATAATATACACTTAATGAAACAAGTTCTTACAAAATCTAATCAAACATTTCCATCGGGAAGAACCTCAAATTGGATTAAGTGCCGATCAAGTGCGCCTGAGGTGAACATGACTCAATATATATACTTCATATATACTTCTATTAAATAATTTATGGGCAGCCTGAGCGGCGTATATCAGGACCGGCCCTCAAGAAGAAACATGTAATATAGCTTTGCAGAGAGAAGCTTTTGATACGGAGTATTACGGAGTATATTTCCTTTTACATTTTTGAGTGTAACGTTTATTTTCTTGTGTGCATTAGGGGATCTAGCAAGGTAGATTTCAATTGCACAATAAGACAATTTGACACCCAAATTAAAATGTGTCAGGCCTTGGAGGAAAATATGTGGATGCTTAGTAGTTCCCCTTCCGGAACGGCAATATTATTTGGACCAGTTTCTTATAAATCCAATATTTAGTACGAAAATGTATTAGACTAGATTATTAGATTTAATTGATATGTATAGGTACGTACTATCTTGAATGGTCAGCCACACAGGCCAAGTTGACCTTTTATATGGTGACGACGTGAACTTCGTTCCTATCAATCAGGACTTATGATTTCGAATCTCCAATCTCCCAATTCGCCGAACACACTCATACAGTCATACAGACTTCAAGTCTTCAACCCCATCACCAACAAAAAAAACAAGCTAAGAGTTATGTGGGTGCATCTTATTCATCAAGTCTAGTTTACTCATACCAAATTTCAGCTAAAACTTCAATCGGGAAGGCATTCAAATGAATTCTTAAAGATAACTGTGCTTCTAACTGCCCAGTTATTTTCAAGAATTCATTTGAATGCCTTCCCGATTGAAGTTTTAGCTGAAATTTGGTATGAGTAAACTAGACTTAATAAATAAGATGCTCAAAACATTTCATCAAAAAATTCCATCGGGAACCACTCCAAATGGAGACGGCCAGACAAAGCCTCCTAAATAAGGGCTTATTTTACCTTTTTTGGTTAGTACATGGGCCTATTTTGTAACACCCCACCCGGCCCGACCCCGCCGACCCGAGTGGCGCGTCACTTGGCGGAAAATCAGAACGGATTTAATCAAAAATATTTTTCGTGGTTCAAGAAATAGTGCCTTTTTTTTACTTTAAACACAAAACATTTAATAAGAGATTTTATTACTTAAAATAAGTTCGTATTAATCCCAAAACGACTTCATTACTGAATACCAGAAAATGTCAAACTCACAAGGAGTAAGGTATTATTAAAACAGACATAACTTAATCATCATCAAACACTTCAAAGAGTGCAGCGGAAGTTCCCAAAATCACATACGACTTATTAAAGTCCTTTATTAAAAAAACACCAAATAACATGGCATGCAAATGCGTCCTACGCCTCTTTCCATCCCCGTGCTCCTAGCGGGTTCCGCGCTCAACCTACGGGTAGGAAAACACACAACTACCCGCTCAGCAATGTGCTGAGTGGTACGGTAATAACATAACAATAATATTAACATATCAAAGAACATATTAATATATCATAATTCACATCTGATCAGACAAACATATAACATACCTGGGTGAACCGTGCAGCTGTTATAAAAATACAGATATTTACATACAGAACATAATCATACTCAGATATCATAAATGTCAGATAATTTTATTCTGAGATAATTATTATATTCTTCTTGTGTGCAGAAGAGAAGCATATTCAGATATCATACTTATCAGATAATTCTTATTCTGAAACTTATCATTGAAAAATACATATTCATTTAGCCTTGAACTCTGAAATCTGGACCTAGACCGAGGAATACTAACGGTAAGGAATACGGTCGATCGAAGTCCGTACTCACATTACCCAGAAGGAATATGGAAACGTAATCGCCGGAGCTACACGTACCAATCCCTGACAGAAGCTAGCTGAACAGAAAGGACGAGATCACCGAAGAGACCTGGACCTTAACAGGAGAGTAATAGTGCTCTAAAAATATTTCAGGAGTGTACGAAGTACACTAAACAGAACAGGAGTGTACGTGGTACACTAAACAGGAGAGCACTATTTCCTCTAAACAGAATTTCAGGAGTGTACATAGTACACTAAACAGTACAAGGCTTTTCCAGAAAATATAAACTTTTATTATTTTATCATTAATACTTACGTAGGATGTTTGAAATAACTAATTAATTCTACCAAAAGTCATAATTTCAAAATATATACATAATATACTATATATCGCATATACCATGCAATATAGTAAATTTCCCATAACTCATTATAACGTAAAAGTGACCGTAATACTTACGTAAATGTTTCGTATTAACTAATTTATTTTACCTATTAAACTAACTTAAACATAACGAATATCATATAAGTTACGTACCTAACATGTAGTACTTATTAATGCATGTGGGCTTGCTAGAATATAGCTTTTTGTTTTCTTTGTATATATCTGTATATATATCTCGGTCCAACTAGCTAATTACGTTCATGCATTTTTATTTTAGTTTAGTTTGCCTAAGTAATCATAATAACTCTTCTGCATTTAGATAATATAATATCAGCTAATACATACATGCATGGAGAAGTATTACATATACCCAGGTAATGTATATGTGAGTGCCAGTTATAAATATATACTTTATGCATATGTTTTTAATATATAAATATATTAATACTGATCTTACGAAAACATGTTTTTAATAAATATTATAAATATTATAAATATATAATACTTATTATAAATATATAATACTGATCTTACGAAAACATGCATATTATAAATATATAATACTGATCTTACGAAAACATGTTTTTAGTTATGCATATGTATATACTTACGAAGTATGATTTATACATTTACATGTTAACACCATATATACTTTATTTACTTCAATTTATTATTTAATATATATAGATAAACGGAAGCAGGTTTATTATTAAATACTGTATATATAAAGTATACATGTATATATGTATATGTATTCCTACGTAAGTATAATAGCAGGGGTACATAAATTTAAGTAGCCAACTATCATGCATGATTCAAATGTCCATTTTAAGTCCTAATCTTTGTTTAAAATGGATGAATGCCGTAACACTATATCTGATGTTTTTTTTAAAACAATACAGTCGACTAATTATTCAACATATCTAAGGTGTATTGCAAATCCTGGATTAAACACATAGGATGTATATGATTAAGCTATCTAACGTCAAAATGTCAAATATCTCAGTATCCCACGTAACCCAGTTGGAAACGGGGACGACGGCCGGACGGAAACATATTATCGGGGCGACGGCCGGAGGGAAACGTATTATTATGTATTACAACGGTAACTAAATAGGCTGAAACGTACTAACCTTAGCTTATTGAA